ATCTCTCTGTACTTCATGGTATTTAAGAGAAAACAGTATTTACTCAAAATGTTTTTATTCTAAGCCAATGAAAGTCATCATACTTCTAGTTTGAGATTGTTTTGGATCAAGTCCACATGGACATTAAAAGCGTAAGAGATGCCACCATGCCTTTTCTCTTTAAATGGAGCTTTAAAACCCATACTGGAAAGGAAATAAAGCATATTTAAAAATAATGAGAAAGCAAGACTTCTGTTTCATGATTACAATTGGCTCTCAGCTTGTATCATGTTTGGCTTTTCCATTATTCTTCCCATAAAAGAACAGATGCTGTGATTTCATCAGCCACAAACAAACAGGGCAGGACAGATGCCTGCGTGCTGGGAATAAAAACAGTAAATAGCTATATTTCAGTATGTTATTCCAAGAAGACATTAAAAGCTACTTTTATCAATCAGGAGTTTTCACAATGACCCTCTGCAAATTAGGGATGGCATATCAATGAAGATGGCATATCAGTAGAAGACCACTGGCATTTAAATCTCTGGGTTTTTTTTTATTTCAATAACATAGCCTAGCCTAATGAATTGAGAGTGTGGCAGATATTGATTTAAAAACTGACATTAGCCTTGGCTTTGAGTCCTCAGCAAATCAAGGCACTGTCCTCTCTCCAAAACTTATAACCCAACGCCTCCTTGGACAGCTTATGCCAAAATTTTGTACAGGTTTAGGTTTTTTTTTGTTCCTACTGTCTGAAACAGATTAATCACTATCAATACACCAGGTTTTTATAACTCCCTGCTTATCTTGGAAGTAGACAGATATCCTTTAAAGCAGTTTTATACACCTTGGTATTTAGGTTACATTGCAAAGTGTATTTTATTACCAAAGTAGGCTTCTTGTCACACACAGGAGCTAGCATGATTGCACTGAAGTTGTAATTTCACTTACATCTGTAAATGAAAGCCCAATCTCTTATTCATATTAAGATTTTCTGTACTCATTGATAAAAAAGCAGCTTGTTTTCTCCATGCCCCTCCATCAGATGAATCAGAGCAGTTAAAGACAAACTCTGTAGCCCATCACTCAGGTTGATGCATTTGATTTGTGTTTTTCCTGAATTGATGAGAATAGTTCAGTTTTATGGGATACAGCTGGAATTGCAGTTGGTGTTACATAGAAATTCATCATTTATATTTTTCAACACAAGGTGATTAGGTGACTTAAAAAAAAAATCTTCAAAGAGCTGTTAAAAGCGTAGAAATATGGCCATGTGGAAACTACTGATGTAAACTAATGTATGACATAGCTAAACAACCATTTTTCCTTATTTACATAGACATTTTTTCACTGTAGAAATTATATTAACATCTGTAGAAAGAGAAAAGAGAACTGCTAGTAGTGCACGACCAGGTATTTCCACTGAAAGTGGACATCAGTGTGTTGGAAAGGTGAAAAACCCCAGAAATTTCAGCAACTCAGATGGCATGAACTGGATTACTGCCAGGAAAAGAACATACAACTGGTCTGTTAATGCATAAGTATACGAGGTGGGAGTGGGGAAGAAGAACAAGAAAAGATAGCTATTTAAGATTTATTTTTCATTACAGGAACTTCTGGGTCCCACATGGAAGGATTTCACTGCAGTTCTACTCACTCATGCAGACAAGGCAGAAGAGGCTGGATTCAGTGAGAAAGCATATGTGCACAGTGCCTCAAGTACCCTGTTGTCGCTTTTGAGCTCAGTATAACATAAATACATTTTCCTAGACAATCAGAAGAGTATAATTAAAGAGGAAAGAGCTATTGTCTTAAGAAAGCTCTTGAATTTTGTAAGAAAAAATAATTATCAAGTGCTTCTACTTAAACACAGAAAGTAATAAAATTAGCTTTCAGGTGCTCATTTGTCTATTTTCTATGGTACGTAATAGTTAATAGAAATAAAAGAGTAGAAGCCACACTGGAAAATTCCACATCCATACCAAATACGTTTGAACACACAGTTGCAAATATCTCTTTAGATTACCAAACTACTTGCTTTTCACAGAGTACCTCACACTACTGCATCCAGAATCCTAGCTTCAACCACAAAATCGGAACAAGCTAGTGCTCCAAGTTGTGTTCCTAATATGTACGTAGTCACAAATGATATTTTGCGCTATCTGGAAGGAAAAAGGTAAAAAAGTAAAAAATTACACTGAGTCCGGACTGTAAGGGAGCCTCTTTGCTCAATTCTTCAAGCTTTCAGAAGCTCCTCTGAATTCCAAAGTTTGTAAAGAGCTTTCCAGTATTAAAAGCCAAAATTTATGTACTGTAAAAGTATTTCTTTACCTTGATTTAGGATTACTTAGAATTGAGATTTTGAACTTCAAGAATTTTGTTTGCTAAGACATTATTGGATATGTAGTTTACAAGGCAGATAAAATAGCTCTCGTGCTTAATGCTATTCGGCACATCTAAAAACTAATTACTATTGCTTATTCCCAGATGCATGAAAAATTAACACAGTTTATAGGCACATACAAAACTCATTTGAAAAAGAGTTCATCTCTTCTTTTGCGTCTGTTCCTTTTAATTTTATATCATTGTCCCTTTGCTTTCTCTCCCAGTTGACTGGACGAAGTTCAAAGCCTGCAAAATTCAGAGTGGCTAAGGTTTTTTTCTATTTCAGTGATTAAAAAAGTGCTTACTGTTTCAGTGATTAGATGGTAACCAGTTAATTAAATGTTATATGCCAAAATATCTGAAGTATCTCCAAATTGTTACTTAAAAGGTTTATTGTAAATTGATCTCAAATAGTTATTTTCAGATTATTAAAAGGCAGGAATTAAATTAATTCTTTTAAGGCTATTACCACAGCAACCATGACTATTTGTACTACATTATTATGGAATAATTCTAATTGTAAAAACTGAAGAAGCTATTTTTGTTAAAACCAAAGCATGTATAAAAACATCACTGCATAAAAATACATTAAAACAAAAAGTCAATTCATTTTATACCTGTTTGGGCATCGGAAATGGATTTTTTTGGTAGCATTTGACTAGCTCTGGCAATCTATTTGCTATTCATTCTTTCTTAGTACTAGCTATCATTTGGAAAGAAGTATCTAGGTAGACGAGATAAAGAACTATTTTAGCCAAGTGACAGCTTTGTTCTTATTGACATTATAACAGCTTAACTCTGGGACATGAAAGCATGTCCATTCATGTATATTCGGGCACAAAGGGCCATAGTTTAATCTTCCAATTACAACTGCCTGCAGACTACTGAGACATCATAGCCAAGCCCAAAGCTGCAGAGGCCTGTAATATATCTGAAAACTGCTCGGAAGGAGGAGAAAAAAATACTAAAAGGTGACTAGAAGAATTAAGATGATTGCGGTCTTCACTGACCAACTGCTAGTCCTGCATCTCTTGAAGGGCAGTTAGCACACAAGGAACAGGGCAGAAATTCTTCCTTATTGAGATGCTCTTGCTCCATACATCCTTTAAACCTTTTAGCTGTCCAGTAAATATGCTTGCCTGCCTGTAGTTCTACCTTGAACAAGCCTTGGCAATTACATCTTGAGCACTGAGTTGTTAATGACTGCTGACAATACTTAACCTCATGGACTGTAAGCATGATGAGTGAACTGTGAAAGTGTTGGGAGGCATAACACATTCTGTAGCTCTAGAAGAGGAGTCAAACAAAAAAAGGTATTAGCCATGCACTTCAAAGGGGTAATATATTCATGGTTTTTATTGTGCTTGCATTACTTTCTATTTCATCATCTGAAAAAGCTTCTAATAACCATTTATATATTTATTTAATTCCACTGTTTGCCATGGTCTCTGCCCTGCAGACTCCTTTCCCTTTCACTTCAAATGGAACTCCTTTGTACGTAGCAACACACTGGTCGTTGGTATGAAGATCAGGTTGGATTTGCTCCCAAATCTTCTTCTTGGGATTAAGTTCCTTCTCAGGATCTCCTGTTTCAAAACAAAGAATAACCTAATAGCACACAACCCATAAGGCAGAGCAAGAGCTCTATGTTTCTACACATCTGTGGGAGCCCACATAGCGTCACTGCACACACTTTTAAAGGGAAAAAAACCCCAACATTACCTGTGATTCTCAAAGTTATTTGTTCAAAAGGTCAAGTAAATTTAATCTCTTACTTCTAATACAATGCATATTCTCTAAAAGAAAAAAAAAAAGGCGATTTCATTTTTAAAAGTTATTTAATCATAACACTGCCGGGTACTCTTGACTTCTTGTGCGTAACACAGGCAGGACAAACAAAAAACACACAAGACTTGCTTTAAATATAGTTGGAGCACATTTAAATGCTGAAAGGGACCCCATGTTATTTCATTGTTGATACGCTATATATATATTTTATTTTTTTTACTTGCTTGGGGTGCCATATTGGCACCATTCTGCCCAAACTATTAAAATCTTAAGTTCCAGAACAAGCAAGAACCAAAAAACAAATCCTAGTAAACAGATCCTCCCTAAGATCCTCTCAGAGGAGCCAGGACTTCCTAATGGAAAATGAGGAGGTGTTCAAGTGAGCAGAATGTCAAGTACTCTCATCTTCCACTGGCCTGTGTCCCCAAAGGTTCAGGGAAGAAAAACTATACGGCTACAGAGATTTTTAACTGTGTCCTTCTGGTAGCTGGCTGAAATTCGTTACTGCTTGGCGTACTCCTGACTGGCTGACCAACAGGCAGATAAACGAACTACTCTCATTCCAGCCTGCCTTGTTTTCTCCTTTAAACGTTTTCAATTGTTCAATCTACTGTGATTGGTATCTAATCTCAATGCTTGCAAAAATAAGTTACTTCTGCCTGTAGACAAGTCTAACTTCTGTAGCTTCTATATCTGTAACTGTGTAAGAGAAGCAGACCAGGCCAGATTTCTCTGTTAAGTAGACTAGCCTTGCCAAAGCAAAATTCAATAATGCACTCAAGTTATTTCATAACCACAGAGCACTTAATAGTTAAAAGAAAAATCAGTAATATCATTAATAAAGTAAACATTTAGAGCTAATTGCACATTTTCACAAAAATCAAAATCCTGCTCAGTGTTCAAGTTCATGAACAAAGACAGACTTGGATTTAGACCAAAGTGAATGCATACAAACTAATAAAATCATTAAACATAATGTTAAATGATCCATCATGCATTTCCCTCCCCCTCCTCCCATATAAAAAGCAAGTGAATTTTTTCAGTTAAAAAAAAAAAACCTGACTTTTATTATAAAAAACACTCTTTGGATGTTAATAAGTTTCTTTGGAATCCTGCATCAAGCTCCCTCGGGATCTGTGGTGAGCTCAGATTAGATTAGCATAGGCACCAATTTAAATACTACCAGAGCTTTAGGCTGTGCTTTTTCCTATGACTTCTCCTCATTGCATTCCTTCTTCCCAGAAAATATTCTTTAGAAGGGTTTCTATAAATAAAATAAATTCAAACTTGTAATGGTTTAATGAACTTCCCACTCTCTTTACATAAAAAGAGCCAAGTAAGAGGTCTGAAATTTTGTAAAACATGTCATTCAATCTAGCAGTTTAAATATTGCAAAAGAAATTCTCATAATAAGAAACTTCTCCACTTTGTAACAGCACAGTAACTATTGAAAGAATATCTCAGTGCAAGAAGGGGCAAAAAGGTGCAGTGATGTGTGGCCTTACCAAAAGTTAATATCACTTAGCCCACTGTAGATTATAACTATGCAACTGAAGGAAAGCATCCATACACCAAAGCTTTGATTAAAGAAACCTGTTAACTACAGACTAACTACTGCACTTGAGCTTTAGCACTTTTTTTTGAAAGAGTTATTAACTAAATTGCCGGGGATTCTTAGACCAGAATGTTTATTTAACCATATAACTTAAACAACAGATTTGTGGTTCCTGGGGCATTTTTGCATTGAATAATTTTGTCAAAGCATTAATTATACTGCTATTAGAAAGAAGATTTCACAGTTAGCTGTGAAAACTCCAAGAATTATTGCTGTCTTATGGCAGTTACTGTGTAGGAGGGTATAGTATTCACAGACAGGCGATAGAGTAATTTTTCTATGGGTCATAAAAGGCAGATAGAAATTTGGTGAAGTTCTTAATACAATAAAGGCCCAATAGATCTTGAAAATTCATGTATTGGAATATGACACAGTGTTAAAGTTCCCCTAAGGGCAATGATATCAAGTACACAAACAAAAAAGAACATTCCTCCAGACAACAGCATTGCTTATCAAATCACTCCTCTATGACACTGAAGATCGTTCTAGGAAAACTCTCAAGTTTCTGCAGAAAAAAGTTCAATTGGTTTGAATCAATATATGTTTTGTTTACTGTGACTAAAATGGCCAAGGAAAGTTAGCCTGTAGCTCATTAATATTCTGTATGGTGGTGAGAGAAGGCTTAAAAGTAACTTGATGCCAAGCTGCTTGATAGACAGCTGTGCGCATTTTAGAGTTGCTTTATTGTTGCTGCTGCTTCTGTTGCTTCATAGGCTTTCATACTTCAAACTAAAACAAGACACAGCTGTCCTTTCTATTTTAATTTCAAGGACTCAAACTGAATCTTTATGCTTTAAAATTACTCCTTAAAAAACCAAACTGATCAGAATATAAATGGGTTACAATTAAGCACTGAAATTAAATGACATCTGACATGGCAAGGATTCTACCCTCCTGAAAACAGCATCAGTGAAATGCCACACTGCCTTTGAGGAAACAGCAGTTAAACAGCATTGTGAGATTTCAATGCAAAAAAGGCGAATAGAAGATACAGACATACAACCCCACTAAAAATTGAGAAATAGTTTTACGCTCTCCCAGTGAGTTCCCCCATCTCAGGAATAAAAGAAAACAACCTAAAAAAACAGTTGT